AGTTTCGGATTTTCATCTTCGTGTTCTGAGTCGTTGGAAATTTCCTTGTGTTTTAATTTGGGATATGGAGTATTCCGGGATTACAAGTGGCACGAGAGAAAGATCGGTTGCGAGATTCTGAGGAGGCAATGCGGTATCAGGGTATGATGCCATGAGTATGAGATCAGTGGTAGAGTCAAGACACTGCGAGGCGCTGTGATGGTATTTCGGGGTATCCGAGTTTAATATCCTAAATCTCGGATTATTTTGAGTTTTGAGTTTGAGATGACGAATGGAGTAGCAAGTGTCTATGGTTCCGGTGGGGGCCCTTCAGCTAATTGACATCAAATGGATTTATTTGAGAATGTGAATTGCAGCGAGAAAAAGAGGTTCTGTCACGACGGTGGTCGTCCGAAGTGGTGATGATTAGCCTGGATGGGTGTGTGTGTACCTGTCTATGATGGGCCGTAGAGCATGAGTTAATGATCGCAGTGTGGTGTCAACCTGAGGATGAAATTGTGAAGTGGTAAGAGTAAGTGCGGTAAGACTGCGGGGAGCTGCAGTTTCAATGAGTCAGTGCAGAGAGGTTGTGGTGATGCTACAGGGAGCCGTAGTACTTACTATTCAGTGAAGGGTGTGGTGATGCTACGGGGAGCCGTAGTACTCACTATTCAGTGAAAGGTTGTGGTGATGCTACGGGGAGCCGTAGTAATCACTATTCAGTGAGGGGTGTGGTGATGCTACGGGGAGTCGTAGTACTCACTATTCAGTGAGAGGTTGTTGTGATGCTACGGGGAGCCGTAGTACTCACTATTCGGTGAGGGGTGTGGTGGTGCTACGGGGAGCCGTAGTACTCACTATTCAGTGACAGGTTGTGGTGATGCTACGGGGAGCCATAGTACTCACTATTCAATGAAGGGTGTGGTGATGCTACGGGGAGCCGTAGTACTCACTATTCAGTGAGAGGTCATTGTGTTACTGCGGGAAGCCGTAGTACCCACTAGTCAGCGAGAGAATGTTGTGATGAAGTGCTCTCTGATCAGAGCTGGACGCAGAAGAGTTTTAGGCTTGGGTAGCCCTAATATTTGAGTTTGTGGAAGCCTGGGGTCGAACCAGGGGCGAGACTGGGGTCTCCATGTTTGTCGGAAGTCGTTATATTCTGAATTGAGTAGTGGTTTTTGTGGCCAAAGGGAAGTGGATGAGTGAGGTACGCATGGGTCGCGAGTCATGAGTCATGAGTTGAGTGGTTCATTAGGGAGAGTGGTTCCGGCTCTGGGTCAGATCAAACTCTCGAGTTTGAGTTTGGCTCTAGTAGTGCGTTGAGTAGGCAGAATGAGATTCTGGATTCAGAGCTGAATTTCATTTGGAAGGGGGTAGTGCTTCCATCTGGTGCCTTAGACCCGAGTGGGTCAATTCGTTGGTGTGAGAAAACCGCGGAACGTATGGAACTAATGAGTAGTAGACGACAGAGGTCGAGGGTGAAACGAATTTCGTATTCGCTTGAGGAAAAGCGAACTTCGTGACTTGTGTGTCACACTGGGCCAAGATAGCTAGTGTGGGAAGGAAGTCAATGAGACATGTTGAGGTATGCAATGAGTAACCCTTGGAGGTTCAACTGCTAGGTCGGGAGATGACCGGGTGATCAGTGTTGAAAGGGATTTGGAGAAGGGAGCTGGGGTTTGATTGTAGTTCAGTGGATAAGTCCCTGGTGTGATGTGATCCTTCCATTCCTTGGTATATGATCTGGATTGTGTATCATGTCTGGGACGAGTGATTGGTAGCCAGTTTTGGGCATGGACTTGTTTTATCGGCCCCCACTAGAGAATCAGAGGGACAGTGAGCTATCGGGGTTTGTTATTCGAGGAGCGAATAATGTGGTGACATCCGGATATGGTGGTCTGGCTGTGTGTTAGGCTACTAGAGTTCCTGATTCATGAGAGCCAGAAGGAGTAGCATAGTGGCAGATGGGTCTGTCCTTTTCCGAGGAGGAGTTCCTGTTTGGATTCAGGTGTCCAGAAAGGAAGATAGTTGTGTGGTAGGAGACCCTTTCGATGGTGCTGTTGGGTTATTTGATTAGATCTATATATTGCGGAAGAGCGATTTCGAAGGTGAAATCTAATTCAAGTGGGGGAGAATTGTAACATCCGGATTTTCAGGGACATTATTGTGCATGTAATCTTGAGGTTTAACGAGGGACTCGACGAGTTGAGGGACCAACTCGCCGAGTCGAGTCGAGTTGCTCGCGTGGATTTAATGAATGGACGCGACGCGTCAGAGGAGGGACTTGCCAAGTAGGTGCTGGGCAGAGAAACCCTAATTTCTCGGGTTTGGGACCTATTTAAAGGCATTTATAGCCTCATTTGCGGCTACCTTCCCCTGAGAGCAAACCCTAATTTCTATTGGAGCTAGAGAGTGAGAGAGAAGCTCATATTGTGGTTCTTGGTGCATTTCTATGAAGAAGGATGAAGAGCTTCATGATGGGAAACAAAGGAAGGCAGTGGATCTGTGGTATTGAGTGTTTCAGCTGCTAAGAGAAGGTACAAAGTCCTCATCTTGTTCATTCCTTGTAATAGATCTCATTTTGGGAGTTTTAGGGCTTAGCCTCCATTCTTTTGAATCTATGAGTCGAATGAGACCTGGTTGTGGTTGAAAACTTCAGATCTGGACCTCCTAAGGTCCTTAGAGTCTAGATGTCTCAGCTTTAGTGGTCCAAATGAGGGTTGATGAGCAAAAACTTTCATGAAGAGCATGTATTGGCATTTTGAAGCAATAGCATCATGTATGAACGTAAAGATCAAAGCTTTACGTAATTATTGAGCCTTGAGATGATAGATCTATAGTTTTGAGTGATAGATCTAGTTGAAATCGTCTGAATGAGAAATCAGATCAAAGGGACTCGCCGAGTCCATACCCTGACTCGACGAGTCGGCAAGGGTTTGTCCCGATGGATTGATTGTGTGATAACTCGGCGAGTTGGGGGTCAACTCGACGAGTTGAGCTGGACTTTTGAGACTTCTGAGGATACGAGGGGACTCGACGAGTCGCAGGAGTGCACTCGACGAGTCGGGTCAAACTTGGACTGTTGACTCGAGTTTGACTTCTGTTGACTTTGGAGTTTTGGTCAACATATGTGATAGAGACCTTGGAGGGGTAAAATGGTCTTTTACCCACTTTAAAGAGTTAGAAAGAGAAAGAACCGCCTTCGATTATCTGAGTCGTGAAAAGAGTATTAATAAGAGATATTCATCCTTTGTGTTAGGAGGAGGCTAGTTCGAGATCTGAGCGCGAGGTTATTTGCTCACCTGCTAGCCGAGGTGAGTCTTCTCACTATACATTACCTAGAGTGGTAACTATGTGCAGACCGGAGGGTCTTATGTGTTATGAGTATGTTTAAGTTTATGTGCATTGTGATAGATGTATGCTATGTGGTATATAGACCGGACCGGAGGGTCCAACGACTTACGAGGCCAAAGGGCCCTCGAATAGACCGGACCGGAGGGTCCAACGATTTAGACTGGACCAGAAGGTCCAACGAGCTAGATAGGACTGGAGGGTCCAACGAGCTATGGGACTGGAGGGTCCTGCTGAGACACATTGACCGGAGGGTCATACCGAGTTATAGCCTCGAGTGGCTATGTGTTGTATGTGGTATTTTGGGGAACTCATTAAGCTTTGTGCTTACCGTGTTATGTGTTATCTGTTTCAGGTTTTCTCAGGATCGTAGGACGGTACCGGTTTGATTGTACACACCAGAGAAAGAGTTATGTTTTGAGGATCCTGGATTATTAATGGAGTTGTGCTTTGTAATTTGAATAAACGAGATTTCTATACAATATGTTATGAAAAGTATGCGATTTTAAAATGAAAAATATGTTTGAAAAATTACGGTGTTACATTCAACGTGCCTTTACGATACTCATTTACGCATAATACAAAAATATATAAACAAATATATACCAAAACAATCAATTTAATCCAATAACATCATGTCAAAAAAATTGTAATACATTGATATTAAGGGGATCTGATTGTACATTGTTATTAAGAGATTTTCCCTAACTATATAACCTAATAGTATATTGCTATTAAGGGACACCTTCTTTTTTCAGGTATCATGTCCACATCATAAGCTTTATTGCTCTTTTCTTTTTTAACAATAGGCGCCACAACAGTTAATGTATCTCTATCTCCTCCTTCCTTTGTAGCTTGGTCAAGAGTATCATGTCCACCCTACAGAGTAATGAAATAAAAATAATGTAAGAGAGAAACATGTAGTCTAAATGATTCAAATAAGAACAAACTGTGTTTCAACAAATTGTGTATGATAAACACAAACGGGCCTCTACTTAACAAACTGTAGTGATAAAAGCATGAAAATAACAAAAAAAAATACAAAATGCATAACAATGAACATGTTTTAGATAACATATGAGTTGCAAAACAGAAAATAGACAAATAGAAAGGCGAAAATCAGAGGAAGTGAAAGAAGAAAACATATAGGCATCATAATAAGACCACATAACCTGTTACTTGCAAGAGACACCCAGAGCAGAATATCTTTGATTCCAGGTTGACCAAAATAAATGAACATCATGAGAAATACACTTTGATTCATGAATTGGGATAAAAAGTGGTTGCATATTTCATTTAATAATACACTTTGATTCATGAATTGGGATAAAAGTGACACATTACCTCTGTTTCCAGCAATTAATACTTAGGCTCCAAGTATATTATCCTCTGTTTAAAGTTTTTTGTTCTCCATTCATACCTCTTCATATTTCTTTCCCGCTCTTCTGTTTATGAGTAAAAGAAGGTAATTCAAACAAAATGTATATTATATTTTTTTTTTAAAGAAAAAGTTTAGTACATGAAAATTAATAAGCTTACCCACTGCCCACCAGTCAATAGCACTGGAGTGGCCAGCTCCTGTTTAGATTTCCTGAAATATCATCATAATTTCAAAGGGTAAAATAAATTTCATAAATAAGCTAAATTACATAAATTCCCTTGAGTACTTTTCACACCGGAGCAATGTATTCTTCTGTGCCAACGAATGAATTAGATTGTGTAGAAGGTTCTACAACAAATGTAGGTGGTGGTTGGCTTCTAGATCTTCTCCTTTTAAGTTGAGGATGTTTTATAACCTGCAAAATTAAGATTAACATGAGACAAAAAAAATAAAAAATAAAAAATAATAATAATAATAATAATAATAATAATAATAATCCTGAATCTTGTAAGAATATAAGTTAATTTTTTTAGATAGAAGAGGACATATTACATACTTGGGGTTTACATTGTGTTCTCTGGTTGAAGTAATATATTCTCTGGTTTCAAGTCCCTATCAATGATACCTGAAAAAAAACGGAAATTGAAATGAAAGGTGTAGGGGTAAAATGGGAATATAACAAATTAACAATGCAGATAGCAATTGAATGAGATTGGATGAAGAGATACGTAAATGATCACCTAAGGGAGAAAGTCCATCAAGAATAGTACGTTCCAAATAATCAACTATTTTTGCATGTTTGAAGAAAGGATGCTTCAAGAGCTTCTCAAAAGAGGGACGTTTCTTTGGGTCATTCACTAAACAAGCAACCACCATTTCTTTAACCTCTCAATTCATAATCTGATCAAACATTAAAAAAATTAAATTAGACATGCTTCATGAGCTAATTATTATATTTATACCCTTGCCCGCGAGCAGGAGGAGCCCTTGGAGCAGATTTCTTTAATTATTAAACGAGCTGCCTGTAATTGTAGGAATTAAGAAAACTAGATTTGACCAGGGATATAGTCAACCTAAGAAGATAATACATATAGAAATTATAAATACATGATGAAGCCATTTCAATGTTTTATTCAGCCATTTCACCTGAAACATGAAGCTACAAAGATGAGACACGTTCACTAAAAATATAAGTTGTTTAGTGATTTCTAAAAAATCATGAAACAGGTTCTTTGGTGATGAAAAGCATCTTATACTACAAGAGGTTCAATTAAGAGTTGGCTTAAAGAATAACTGAAAAATCATCTTTGAAGACTTCTGTAAAAAGTTGAGGAGAGATGAAACTAATTCTTAAGTTGCAACTGATTATGTACATAGTGAAAGTACTAACCTGTTCATAAACAGGGAAATATATCCATTTTGGAAATCACTCTAAAATTGGAGGCGGATGTGGCGAAGGATAAGATCAAAGCACTCTAAACTTTGCAAAGAGCACTCCTTTGAACAACCGGTGACAGATTTAAGTGATATCAACAACTTCTCAAAGGGCTTTATAAGATGAGTATCAAAATGAAATCGAATAGGGCGATTCTTTGACAAAATTGGTATTTGAAAACGAGTGACAAAAAAGAAATGTGCAATACCTTGAATTCAGCAGAAGTCTTCGAGGATTCTTAGATGGATCACTTACAGGATACTTCGTGACCTAGCTCTTTTGGTTGTGTAATCGAACCAAGCATCGAGCTTGATTGCAGTTGATGGATAGGCAATACGAAGGAGGGGGAGAGAAAGATGAATAAAATACATCGCTTCTAATTTCGTCTCCTGTCTCGATCTAAGATACGAACCTCAAACCTGGGAAAAATGAAAAACCGCAGAAATCGCCTGAAAATAAAATCAAATCCACCTGGTGGAGGGGAAGAAGGACCAGAAGAGGCGGTGAAGGTTGGAGGTGGATGAGGGGGCAGAGACCCCTTGTCGATTTCGTGAAGACTGGTGAATGATGGGAAGCGAGTTTAGGGTAGAGGAGATCATGAGGTGCGTTTTCTAAGAGGGAAGAAGACATCTGATCGATTAAAGGGAGAATGAAGGTATGGATTTTGTAGGCTGTGGTTGTTGATCGATAATTAAGAAAGGGCAGAACGAGATGAAGGAAGGGTTTGAACATACCATTTTTACGATCTCTTGTAAGCATGAGAAGTTGTTGTGAGATCTAAGAATTATGTGAGGTCCGGTTCAAAGCCCCAGTATCTTTATTAATTATGTGAAGATGGGCCATATGCGAAGATAAAAAGATGAAGACTGACCATATCTGAAGAATTTTAGGCAAAGTTATGGTTAGATCTGATTAAAAGAGTATCTATAGATATCAAAGCGGCCATGAAAATTGCAGAGCTTCATTAATTAGGTCAAGGAAAAGAGAAGGGGTTTTCGGCTATTAGAAGATGAGAATAAGGCGGGGTTTTAATTTTTTTGGGATTTGATTTCCCCCCTTAGCTATTAAATATGGAGAACGCGCGTTTCATGAAAATTTTTATAAAGCGACATGCATAGACGACACGCCTTTTATGCTGAGTGCCCTCTGTGTTTTTATTTTTTTTTGTTCCGACACTAATTTTAAGGGCACGCAAAAATACGCGTCCTAAATCCTTCAAATTTTAGAAGAGATGACATTATTTTTAGGGCACACACTTTTACGTATCGTAAATCACTGCGTATCATGGTTTGCGCGTCATTAAAGGCCTATATTCTAGTAGTGATATCAATCCATAAAAGATATACAAACTATAAATACATTTGGGGCTAAGAGCTCTGACTACAAGTATACTTTTAAAATTTTAATTATTTTTACAAGAAGTATATTAACACTCACACATACAAGTACAGTATCAAATCATAAGAACTTAAAAGTATTTGAATGTTAAACATTACAGTCAAACCTGGGCAGTTATGTAATCATATCTAGGATTAATATAGTCTGATCAACTATATTGATTTGAGATATGACCAACATGTGTTTGGGAGTGATGATAGTGTTGTGGCATGTCTAAAACTTGCCAACTATACATATTCAGAAGAACTTTAGAACAGAACATAAAGATTAAAATAATATAGGGGTATTTTAGGCACTATATACTAATAACACACATGTGAAATCAGTAGAACAATCAAGGGTAGAACTATAAATATTAAGGGTATATTACAATTATATATAATTAAAATTTTATAGACTTATAATATGTGATTTGGCTTCATTTCCTGTTCCATGTTTGGTTGTGGACTTAGAGCCGGGTCATTTAATCGAAGGTCAAATATAATTAAGTTATATATAATTAATATGCACTTTATAATTATAGTAATATCTAGAACAAGTTGTGCTTAGTACATTATTTGTTAATTGTAGGTCTTTCTTGTAGAAACTTATCGTTACTAACTATATCCTATATCTCTTATCCCTATTCTCGCTTAGATAAAAATTGTTGGATTTCACATACCCGGAGACCCTTATTTCCCTAATCAAGAACAAGATGCAGAGCCAGAAGAAAAACACGAAATTCCCTTAGATGATGATTTTGCAGAAAGCTTTCCTGAAGACAATGATTCCGAATCAGAAGCCTTTAATCCACCACCAATTGCTCAAAATCCTAACCCTCGTCCAGTTTTCCAAGGTCCGACGCCTCTATGGGTAGAAAGCTTGGAAACATGGAGTCAAGAGCAAGGTCAACCAATGCCTTACAACGGAGACAGAAGCTTCTACAACTTAAGCAAAGGAGGTTCAGCAGACAGAGTTCTGCCGATTATAGTCAGCAGAGTTGCTCGAAATGAAATTCAGGGTAGAACAGCCATCAACCGAATCAGGGAAGTTGATGCCAATGTGAGAATTAATACAATCAGTATTAATCGTCTTGAATATGCTCGTGAGAGAGATACAAGGGACAATGAATCTCTATTGCAAACATTAGCTGAAACTCGAGATGAAGTCATAGAGCTGCGAGCACGCCTGACAGTGTAAGAAAGGCATCTACTTGCTATGGAGCGTCAAATGGCTAAGATGAGGTTTCATCCAAATGATACTCGTCACCATTAGGAAATACTCTACTTGTTTCCTATTTCACTCTTTTGTTTATAGTTAAGTCTATGGATAAGTTTTAGTGTTATTTTTTAGGTTTTTCAGTAAGACCACAAAAATTTTATTTTTGATAGGTCTTTATGATGTCGATATTTTCTCAGAATTTGGTGTATTGTAGACCTATCTAGGGTCAAGTTTTCCAGACTTATGTATTCAATATGCCAAATTAATTGACATGCATTTTCTTAGTAATTGAAAAATAACCATTCACGTTCATATTATTCAGTTACAAGTTATACTTGTCATAGACTTCTATTTCCAATTCATTCCAGGATTCATATCGAACTATATGTTTTAGTTCAGAGATATCAGAATTCATATTCACTCTTGATATCTTATCATCTTTGTATCTTTTGACTTTTATAGAAAAATGTGCCTCCTCGTAGAAATCCAAGAAGTCATAATGTAAATGAACCGCCGGTGCCACCTGCACCACCACCTCCTCAGTTTGACCCCGTTATGTTCCAAGCGGCAGTCACGACAGCTGTAGCTGCTGCTATGTCTCAGATCCATACTTCTGGTGCTAGTGGGTCTGGAGCTAGTACAAATCCCCCTAACCAGGGTGAAGGTCATGGTCACTCGCACTTATAAGGATTTTTTCAATGCCAAACCCAGGACCTTTAATGGAACTGGTGGAGTTATGGCATTAAGGCAATGGATAGAAAAGACAGAAGCAATTTTTGAAATTTTCTCCTGTCCTGAAGGCAGCAAGGTCAAGTTCGTTGCTTGTACCTTTTCAGAAAGAGCTTTAACATGGTGGAATGGCCATGTTAAGTCACTTACCCTAGTGGTGGCTAATTCAATAAGCTGGGAGAACTTCAAAGCCATGCTTATGCGGGAATACTGCCCGTGAGGAGAAGTTCAGAAACTTGAGGAGGAGCTATGGGGTCTTTCAATGGTTGGTTCTGATATATCAAACTATACTAGTAGATTTTGTGATCTGGCAATTCTGTGCCCGGAGATGGTTGCTCTAGAGAGCAAAAAGATTGAGAGATATATGTGGGGACTATCGCCTCAAATTCAATCTATTGTTTTAGCTTCAAGGCCTGTTACTTTTGACAGTGCTAAAGAGCTGGCACAATCTGTTATAGACCATGGAGTCCATCAACACTCAGTGGTTGCTATGCCAGAACAACCAAAGGGAAACAACAACAACAACAAGAAGGGTAGGAACAAGAGGAAGGGCAAGTTTTCACAGAATTCCTCAAAGAAACAACAGCTGACTACAGTCAATGTTGCTACCGTACCTATTGATGTTCCTGTTAATCCAGCAGCAGCCAAGCCATATGCTGGAAACCTCCCCAAGTGCAACAAGTGCAATTTTCACCATAATGGAAATTGGAGGGAAATGCAGTGTCGTAACTGCAACAGAAAAGGGCATACCGCCCGATTCTGTAGAACACCACCCCAACCACTTAACCAAGTACTTGCTTGTGACAACCCGAAATTTTCATTTGTATAAACTCTACAGTCAAGCACTGCAAATATTAGTCAAATTTATTTCAGTACATTTTTGGCCGGTTTAAAGCCTGTTTGGGTGTTTTTATTTAAAATTCGTCAAAAGGACAAATAAAAGGAAGTATCTTCTAGGGGGAAATGTGTAACAAATAAACACTTCAACACCATAACAAGGTGTTTACGGCCAAACTTGGGGAGTTTGGGCCATAAACTCCTCTTGACCTTGAACTCATGCTTAAGGCATGAGTTTACTCCCCACTTCCTCACTTTACACTACTAAGCTCAAGAACACCCAACTTTTGTCTCAAGTATCATAACACATTTCTTCCAATCTTCCAAAAATGTAAGTGTTTCTTCTCTTGTTTTGTTGTTATAACACTTCATCTAGTAGTTATACATGATTTCATCCATGAAATCTTGTCTTTTTCATAGATCTTCAAGTGTTCTTCAAAACACCAAAAACACACACTATACAGAACACACTTGTATTACAATTATTATATTAATGCAATGGATGTTGTTGCTTGTCTTTACTATTATGCATTGTTGTGATACTGTACATGACGTCCTCCACCCCAGAACGTTTCTGCCGTTCTTGGTTTTGGGGTGTGACAGATTGGTATCAGAGCACTGTTTATAGTGAATCAAGTATATCAACCCATAAAAGATATACGAACTATAAACACATCGGGATTAAAACACTCTGACCAAGAATATATACTTTTAAATAATAAAATATTTAACTAAGTATATGCATACATCTATTCGTACCAAGGTCAGTATCATACTAGAACATAACAAAAGTATTATGATTGTTGGACATCACAATTAGGCTTAGAGACATATAGTCAAACCTAAGGGGATATAGCCTGATCAACTATATTTTCTGAGGAGTGACTAGCATGTGCCTAAGAATGATTGTAGTGTTGCAACAAGTCTAAAAACTTACCAACACTACTACAACAAGAGCATTAGAACAGAACATAAACCTAAAATACTATAGGAGTATTTAGTATTACTATAATTACTTATATGCAAACGAAAAGGATCTTCATTAGTACGTCTATTAACTATTCTTTCCCCATTCTCGCCTAGATAACATGGCTGGTTTCCATCTCCCTGGCGATCCGTACTATCCCAACCAAGGTATTGGAGGATGGTTTGATGAGGAGCCAGAAGATGATCACCCAATCCCTTTGGATGATCACCGTGTAGAAGGCTTTTCAGATAGCTCTGACTCCGAACCAGAAGTCAACAACCTACCCCAAGAGGGTCAAGTTCCAAACCCCAACCCCCGCCCGGCATTTCAAGTAACACTCCCTTGTGTGCAACAACCTTGAATCGATGGAGTGATGAGCAGGGTCAGCCCTTACCTTTCAACGGAGATCGGAGTTTTTACAATCTAAGGGAGGGAGGATCAACTGACCGGGTCCTGCCCATCATGGTCTGTAGGATTGCTAGGAACGTCGAGCAAGGTC